ACACTGCTGCAGCAGCGTGCACCTCGATCCTGTCCCGAGATTGTTATGACCCCCCCCAATGAACACACCAGGGAGGGCGGGCGAGACGATCGAGGGGTCCCGTACCATGCGGAACCGACCCTATCCAGTGCTCAAGTGCTCAAGCACCAGACACGCACACGACGTACATCCTCACTCGACGTCACCCCTCGAGGCTTCTCCGTTCGGCCTCCCCCCCTCGGTCCGGAGGGGCCCTCTTATCCCCTCGATCCTCCCCCCACTCGCTTTCCGCTGGTTGGGCAACGGATGCGGGGCCCGGCCCCCCCTCCTAGCCTTTTTCGGCCGCGGCCCCGCCGCCGTCTCGCCCTCTCTGCTTGATCCTGTTGACTCCTGTTGAGGTTATTCTATCTTCTCAAAAAAGAAAAGCGCGTCTATCCGTGACAAGACTGTGCCAAGCCCCATTAAAATCCCTGTGTGGTGGCGGCGTGTCGTCCTCCGATCCCCTCCCGTCCTTTCTTTCTTGCACAAGCCCCACATTGGCCTGCTGACCCCCGCAATCACACACTCATCGCCATCAAGCTCCGCGGGAGCCTAGGGCTCATCGCGGGAGCTGAGGGCTCATCACTCAATGCTCGACCGCGCTGACACGTCTGCGGCACCCGTCCAATATCGGCACGCTACAGCCTTGGTGCAGCGTGACGCCGAGCGCAGGGCGGCAGTCGCAGAAGCGGCGCACATGGTCCGCCAGTCCAAATGGTCGGATCGCAGCGAGGTGCAGGAATTTGTGGCGGTGAAGCAAGGCAACGCGCTGCGAGGCTCGTACATGCGCATCATCGAGATTGGGCCGAGAGGAATTTGCACGCTCGACCCGAGCACGCGGCGCCTCACAAACCGCTGGCCCCTCACGCGCGTCGTTCGCGTGACGGCCGACGATCAGTGTGGCGTCGATCTCCTGCTGAGCGAGCCTGTCGGTGGTCTCTTCTGCCTGCCGCTCGCGGTCGAGCGGCGCGTGAGCTTCGCGTTAGCCACACCGGGCGAGAGCGCCCAGCTGCTCGAAACCATTCGTGCGCAGCGAGTCGTCGTCCAGGCCCTCCTCTCCGTCCCACGCCGCACGCTCCCGGTCGCCCCATCAGTGCGTACTGGCATCCCCCCTCCCAGGCGCTGCAGTGCTTCGAGCAGCGCTCGCTGATCCGCGAATCGCCCGACGAGGTGCGCGCCCTCCAGACACACCGCCGATTGGTATGCCCTTCTGCTCCTCTATCGCCTCCAGGAGCGTGAGCAGCACAAGCCCCTTCATGTCTCCGCCGTCCAGGGTGAGGATGCACAGGAGAGCGTGCTCGCTAGAGGCAACCTTTTTGCTGCGAATCCGCGGAATCCGCAGCGGTGGCCTGGAGCGGCGGCCAGTCAGCAAGAAGGCAACCAGAACCACAATTGCGACGGTCAACCCGGAGAGCAGCAATGCGCCTTCTGCTTCCGCCTGCAGCAGCGCGCCATTACTCGCCGCCTCTGGCTCGAGCAATGCCCCACCCGTCGTCGCCTGCGCGTGTGCGCTCGCGGGACTCTCCGGCTCCATCGGCCGGGGGCACTTGGAGCACTTGGAGTGCAGTCATCCGGGGATGCGCGTTTTTCGCTCATTCGTTCCAATTAAGCACTGGTTTATGGAGAGAGAGAGAGAAGGCCCCTATCTCTCAGTCTCTCTCTTCTT